AAAACTTGTTTTTAGTTATTTGACTTATTTTTCTGATTTATAAATTTCTAACTTTGTCTTCATTGCAGCCAACCTTTAGCTACCCATTCCGCCATTGGCATAAACTTGCCATCACCATAAGTGATTTTATAAATCTTGATTTTAATCTCTCTGTATTTTAAACCAGTTCTAATCTTTTTATCTTTCTAGTTAAGTAGAGAGTTTGAAAATTATTTCTCTTTATAAAAATAATTTAGATTAAAAGAAGACGGATATAAATAACCATTTTCACACCAAACTCTAACCCTAGCCGCTAGGAAGGAAGCCGATCGCCACCGCTGCCGCACTAGAGCCACTTCCGACCGTCAAAAGAAGTAAAAAAATTTCTCATTTACTCGAAATTCGATTTTAAACACTCCTATAGCTAAATCAGAGCAAAAGGACCGCTGGATTGGCCGAAAATCGTGAGTAAAGCCCCATGGCGTCGCCGTGAAAAAATACAAAAAAGCCTCCGATGGTGCCCTTTCCAATTCCCGTTTTGCGTAATTCTTCCACCATTGTAATCTCTGTTTCCTTCTCTACAGATTAACTGTAACGGCCCCGGAAATATTAAAATGAAATGAGTATTTAAATATATCAAATGCGGAAGCGAGATCAAAATTTCAGTTAACATCCCTTACACGAAAAACCAAAAACGTACTTAAAATATAAAAGATTAAACTAACTAAGAGAGAAACTCGAAAATAAAACTATGAGTATGACTACAGAGTCTCTAGGCATCCCCTTCGTCGTCCTCCTGCGGAACGGGCTCGGGAACCATGTCTTCCTGATCTGAAATGGTTAAATAAGGAGTGAGCTACACTAGCCCAGTAAGAACATCACGATATCTCACCGTCACGGAGGTAAAGGTGGGTAGAAAAACACAAAAAGACCAATGGAGCATAATTTACAATAAACTCGTTTATTAACATGAAAACCTTTACCATCCACTTACCTCGGTGGAATTTATGAAAACAATATAAGAAAAATAATAACATTATCATAATCATGGAATAATATAAGCTATAAAACATAACACTTATCACGCCTCTTGTAATTCAATCATTGTACAACGTATCTTTTTCTCATTTACCAGCCTACTAGTATCCGTGGGGGTCCATAGGGGTTCCGCTACCCGTTAACCTTTAACATTCATAATCAGTTTCCAGGGCCGTCCCCATACCCCGTCCGGTATGGGCGCCAAAACCATGAACCTCAATACCCCGTCCGGTATGAGGGTGAAACGGGCCGTCCCCATACCCCGTCCGGTATGGGCGCCAAAACCATAAACCTCAATACCCCGTCCGATATGAGGGTGAAACGGGCCGTCCCCATACCCCGTCCGATATGGGTGCCAAAACCATAAGATCTCCATACCCCGTCCGGCATGTGAGACCACAATCCCGGTAGGGTTCCCTACGGACCAGGTCCGTCCACCATCTCCCAGGATATCTAGTTAGGTTGACCCTCATAATACAATTATCAGTCTACACAATCTTTCATTTTCCTTTTCCTCAGTCAGCATCATCAATTCACATACAAACAAGCAAAACAGTAATTCATGCCGAACAGACAACATACAGTATCAGTTTTTCAGTCATTCAACCCATGATTAATAAAAACGTAGTATTTGCACACAAATCTGTAAAATGAACACATCAAACCTCATTTTGCATTTAAAGCTGTAAACAGGCTAAATAACAGTAAATCACCAATCACACTAGACTCGGGCTCCATTAGCCATCTTAAGCAATTTCACACATTCGTTAATTCAAGAAATACCGTTTTATCATTTTGAACTTTAATACCGTGATAGGAAATAGGGTGAGGGGTCCTTACTTGTTTTCGGGATCCGAATACGATTCACAGTGCGCCTGCAGGCCGTCCCTAATTTTCCCTGAATTTTTCCCGGGGAACTGAAACACACTAACAGTACCTGCACGTGTTCCAAAAAAAATCCAAATTAGCCCAGGCCCCCTTTCGGACCAAATC